GTAGTCGTAGCAGTCGTAGCAGTAGTCGTAGTAGTAGTCGTCGTCGTCGTAGTCGTCGTAGTCGTCGTCGTTAGTAACTAGCAGTAGCAGTAGCAGTATTAGTAGTAGGAGGAGGAGGTTGAAGGAATTAGTAGTGGGAGTTAGTAGGTAGTGGGTAGTGCGTAGTGGGTAGTGGTAGTGGTCGTCGGCGGTAGTGGTGGCGGGCGCGTAGCAATAGCAGCAGCAGCAGCAGCAGCAGCAGCAGCAGCAGCAGCAGCAGCAGCACAATCATGGCAATCGTCAGTGTAATGGGCGGCTGCAGCAACAACCAAGCGCTTAGCACCTCCACCACCGTTATCCTCTTGAGTTTGTCAGGTGATGAAACAGAACGCTGAGTCCGTGGGCAGTGCACTGGCCGGACTTGTTTCGCTGGTTCTCTACCAGCAGGCACAGCTCTGTAGGCTGCTGTTGGTTCGGATAGAGCGACACGCACTGAGATGTGTGTACCCAGACTCCTGTGCCAAACAAAGCTGAAGCACTTTTATTCAGTCTCGTACGGCTTCTTTTGGTGAAAACACACGGTCGCTTTCTGAAGCTTCACTGACCCTGCAGTTGGGGCCCACGGCGTCCTTTTGGCTCACCGGGTACACAGCTGGATTCTGCAGCAGGTAGCCTGGCAAAAAACTTTTCGAGGGCAGTGGCTGTCTTGCCTCGAGGCAGAGCGCACTCCAAGCTCCTAAACCCCAAAATGGAGCCTTGCCTGCCGTGTGCGAGTGTGAGAGTCGAAACCCCGAAAAGAGCATGTTTCGTTGCTTCACGGAGTTGCCCCGGATCGGACTGGGTCAGATCGTTGCTGGGATCTCCCTTGTGGCCTAGTGAGTCAGACGAGTGCGAATCAAAACCGGAAGGCCTAAACCCTGTAACCTGCGACCATGGATCCTCGCCTGGCATGTCCGAGTTGTGAGAGCGTAAACCCTGTAACCTTAAGCCCCTTAACCCTCAGCCTCCGCCCTCACAAAACAAAGCTAAAGGCCCACAGAAATGGCCCGTAACGGCCCTAGTTCGTCAATGCCACATTGCAAGGCTCCTAAATTCTGCATCTCGCTTCTGCTGTTGCGTCATTTGTGCACGGATCCTCTGCTACTTGGAGGTTGCATGGACACAAGCAAAAGCTTTGGTGACTTGGAGACCCTTTCTTGTCGTATCCGTATCCGGAGGTATGGACCTGCTGTGCCTGCTTGGGCTTGCGATGATGGAGCCCCCTCATCCCTTAAAGCCTGAAGCCCTTGAAGCTTCCAAACCTCGGCCCCCGCAAGCAACAGCCTAAAGGAAACCCCAGAGCAGGCGCCTTTTTTCAAAAAGAATGGGCCGTCAGCGTTGAAACCCTTCTGAAGGGTGGGCTTCGGCAAGCACCTTGACGGGGCAGAAGAGGCCCGCCCACATCGGCGGGGTGTCGAGACTTGGGCTGCCACGCGAAATGCAAATTTTCGGGCCAACTATTGAGAGCGATATACTCGAGTGTGGTGTTGGTTTTTTGAGGGTTCAGGCGGTTCCTGTGGGAGGTGCCTGAGGCTAGTCAGGGCGGCTGTGAAGCGCAGTCAAGCCGCTACACCACAATCCTACAGAGCCTGTCTGAACAGCTCTGTCGTCCCAGACTTGGATATACCCGTGGCAACGGACCGTGTAAAACTCCGTAGAGCGGACACCCAGCAATTGAACAAGTGGGCGTCTGCATCCAAGAAGACAAGAGCTGAGGAGCGGCGCATCACTTGGAGCAAGGCTCGACTAGAGCCTAGACCTGGGCTCCTCAACACATGTGCCCTAAGGGTCTGTAAGATGATAAGCGGTTTATGACGAATCCCCGTAAACGAATAATGCTGCGCTCAAACGTCGTCGTCGGAGCATTTCTTTTTGCATGGTGCTTTGAGAGTAGGCATCGTCAGTGCCGCAAGGGCACTGACAGTCGAAACATCGTGGTTCAAGATGTTTTTCCAATTAGGAGTCCGCCCATATTGGCCATGTGGCAGGCTCCACAGTGGGATGACCGTGGCTCACAGGACCTAGTTCAGCATTCTAAGTACCCACAGCATCGCACTTGCTGGGCCACCTGCGCCGACCCAACATACTTGAGAGGACGGTGTCACAGGAGCCTCAAAGCAAAATGGTCGGTGACTTGTTCCGTATAATATAGCCATGTGAGCGATAATGGCAAATATTTTGTACACATTCAAACGTGTGCAAAGGTATAAGTGTACCTGCAGCTTCTGGCAGTAACCATAAGACTGCGCATAACTCTGGGACAATTATGAGTTCCACCGTGTTCATAAATGCTGTTAGTGTTGGTACAAACGACTTATTACTACCTCCGTTCGTTCTTGAAAGAGGAACCCCCCAAAGTCCGAAGGCGCAATGCGGAACTGCGGAACATATTAGTACGGCCTCATTCAGAAACCAAGATAGCACAACGCCTTTTCAAAGGAAACTTTGTTGAGCTTAAGCCTGAAGTTTCTGTTGTTTGCCTAGCATCCTCTGACATGCAAGGAACACCATGCAATATTGTTTGTGTCGAATGCTTGCATGTTTGTAGTTCCTCAAAAGAAGTATTTTAACTTGATAAGCCTTCCGGCCAGAACATGCTCGACAATGATCGTATGGGCAGAGCAGAATATTCCCCCACACCCTCTTCAAATGGTTTAGAGTTCTGTACTCAAGCATTTAAGACATGGAGCTCTATGGAAGCACCCACAGCGTTATGCACAGGAGAAGTCCCAGGACCCACCTGCCTGATTGAGCTGCCCTGCTTAGGGATTTGGGCAGGTTCAGGTTCTTGGGTTCGAGGATTTGTGGAGTTTGGGGTTTGGACATAAAAATCTAGCACGTTCTCTAGGCGACTTGAGAAGCGGTGTTCTGCAACGGGGTTGAAAGGATCCGCATAAGTTTCTGTGGCCCGTCCAGCAAGTTCAATGCTCTATGCGAGAGGGTCTGCTGTATTGATCTAGGTTTTGTAATTGGAAACCTGGAGTCCTTCGGACTTAGTTTGAGGGGGATGCTCTTTGATAAGTAAAGGGTCTGAGTACATCTGGGGTGGAACAGGTCCAGGTCCCATACTCAAGGAAACCCCTAAGCTTCAGCTCATGAAGCGGGAGTTACTAGATTAATCAAGATGATCCTACCCCTAGGTAGCTGTGCTAGATTAGGGCCTAGACTCTGAGCCTGAGACGGTTCTTGAGCCCCTACTCCCCGACTGATGACGACCGAATCCGATCACGAGGCAACAGCAACGGAAGCATCAAGAGCACCACAAGCTTCAGCAACAACCACAACAACAACAACAACGCACAAGCTTTGGCAAGGTCGAGTATCCTTCGTGGCCTAGCATGCTTAATCGCATGCTTGCGGGATCCTGCGGGGCTCACTACTATCCAAGTATGCGGCAACCGTGAACAGGAAAGAAATGGCAAATATTGACTACAGTTACAGGCATGGCCATCACAGAAGCGAATACTGAACATCAAAAATTACTGAAAAAGGAAGAAGTCTGATCACCGTGGAAGTAATAAGCACTGCAACCAGGACGCCTTCCTCCCTCGCTTCCCGAAACGTCAATCCCTGTTCTGCCCCTCAAACCCTCAACCCTCGTGGTCCTAGAGGTTTGCCAAATCTCCTAAATAGTAGCAGCCATCAGAATCATATTGATGATGTCAAAAAAGCTTAGTAAGCAATCGTCGTATCTGCATGAAGCCAGGAGAGTTTGGACTCTCACGTACCAGACATCCAGATCAATGTCATTCCTCCTAAGGCTGGTTGAAGGATTTGGGAGTTCGACTCCGACCAGTATGGTTTTTAGGCATGCCCAAGCTTCAAGCAACTCGAATGTTGGTGGTTGAAGGCTTGGGTACAGCAAGGGTGTGATCAAGAGTTGTGCGCAACTCGTCGCGAGATCACTTTGGTTTCTGCACCGAGCACTGGGCTTGTGGCCGACGTCAAAGCGCTCCTACAGTCTTCCAGCCATCAACGTGACTTTTCAGAACTCTGATACTGCGTCGGCTTTGAGGGCAGGTCTTGGAAGGGGAATTGTTGAGCAGACCACGAAACCAGCAACTTACAGCTAGCTTCGATGTGAGAAATCCATTCCTGATGGCTTTGTCCTAGCCTTCTGCGGATTCAGGTTTTGAGTGTAGGTTCATAATGCCATAGGAGCGTCCGAATACAAGAACCGCTCATGTGGGCTACCCCGAAACTCAGCGTCGAGGCACAGGCACAAGAGTGAACTCATTATGAAGACCTGGTGATAACATGTGAGACGCACCCCGAAAGCTCTTTCTCTAACCCTCCAGAAACCCATCTGGTGACGGAGATCTTGGATTTCCCCGAAGTCTTACATCCGAAAATCCAAGAAACAAGATCCTTCGAGCCAACTCAGTCTTTGAGCCCTTGTGAGGAGGACGACGAAGTTGGCTCGACGGTTTCGATCTGAGCGCGAGCCTCCGTGAATTGTCTGGCTTTTCCGATGTCTAGCAGGCACGAACTCGAAATGTCACATTCAGCTCATGCACACATGGGGCCTTGAAGTGGATGATGGGTGCGTGGACAACCACTCCCTGTGGAATTCGAAAATTGGTTTAAGTGACATGCATGCGTACTGGTAATCAGCAGGCTCGTGACACGTGTCTTTTCGTTGCATGTCGGGATTAATCTTGCCGGTTTGAGTTGCAGAGAGTTGCAGATCTTTGGACGTACATTTCGATGTACTGCTTTGTTCAAGGATGCCGGTTCGATGGGTCTTGGGTGAATCAGACTGTGCCTGTCAAGAACATGGTTCCGGATCACGCTCCGACATGGCCGTGCAAAGATGTGGTGTTTCTTCGGGCAACACCACGTGTGTCCGGAAAACAGAGCAGCTTAACTGTCGCCAGCGGTCATGCGGCAAATGCACGGATACTGCCATGACAACGGGACATGCCAAGTCTCTGCAGAGTGAAATTAGCCACCGAACCTCCAGACTCCTTCCAAGAAGCTGGATTCTGGGCTGAAAGAGCATCGCCGCGTTAGTCCTGGCCACAGCAAGCAAATCACACAGCTAAGAGCTGAGAGCTGACTAAAAAAACTCGCAGGTCGTCTTACAAGAGCAAGCAAGTAAGACCTTCCCTTCACCTTCTCAAAACGTAGTGTTTATGCATATATATATATATATACGATACCGGTTCTCCCCCCCCCCCCAATGGTTGGTACCCCTTCCCCCCGCCCTGCCCCCACCCCCTGTGGTGCGGTGTGGTTCGGGATTTGGGTTTGCTTGCCCCCCGTGCTGTGGTGTGGTTCGCGCTTTGGGTCGCCCTGCATGTTTCGAAATCGTAATCATCATCCTCATCATGGGTCTCT